ACCTTTATTTGTTTGATCTGTTGTAATTACTGCATTACTATTATTATTATCTTTACCTGTTTTAGCAGGTGCAATTACAATACTGTTAACTGACCGAAATATAAATACTTCATTTTTTGACCCTGCTGGTGGAGGAGACCCAATTTTATACCAACATTTATTTTGATTTTTTGGACATCCAGAAGTCTATATTTTAATTCTTCCAGGATTCGGAATAATTTCTCATATTATTAGACAAGAATCAGGAAAAAAGGAAACTTTTGGATCTTTAGGAATAATATATGCTATATTAGCTATTGGATTATTAGGATTTATTGTTTGAGCTCATCATATATTTACAGTAGGTATAGATGTTGACACCCGAGCCTATTTTACATCAGCAACAATAATTATTGCTGTTCCAACAGGAATTAAAATTTTTATTTGATTAGCTACAATTCATGGAACTCAATTGAATTGTTCTCCTACTACTATATGAGCTTTAGGATTTGTGTTTTTATTTACAGTTGGAGGATTAACAGGAGTAGTTCTAGCTAATTCTTCTGTTGATATTATTTTACATGATACTTATTATGTTGTAGCCCATTTTCATTATGTTTTATCAATAGGAGCTGTATTTGCTATTATAGCTGGATTTATTCATTGATATCCTTTATTTACAGGATTATATATAAATGCAAAACTTTTAAAAAGTCAATTTTTAATTATATTTGTTGGAGTAAATTTAACTTTTTTTCCACAACATTTTTTAGGATTAGCTGGTATACCTCGACGATACTCAGATTATCCAGATGCTTACACTATATGAAATATTATTTCAACAATTGGGTCTACAATTTCATTACTAAGAATTATTTTATTCCTATACATTATTTGAGAAAGCATAATTATAAATCGACAAATAATTTATTCAATTCAATTAAATTCTTCAATTGAATGATTTCAAAACTCTCCTCCTGCTGAACATAGATATTCAGAGTTACCATTATTAACTAATTTCTAATATGGCAGATTTAAGCAATGGATTTAAGCTTCATATATAAAGTATTTTACTTTTATTAGAAATTTCAACATGATCAAACTTAAACCTTCAAAATAGAGCTTCACCCTTAATAGAACAATTAACTTTTTTTCATGATCATACTTTAATAATTTTAGTTATAATTACTATATTAGTTGGTTATTTAATATTTATATTATTTTTTAATAATTATACTAATCGAAATTTATTACATGGACAAACTATTGAAATTATTTGAACTATTTTACCTGCTATTATTTTGTTATTTATTGCTTTTCCTTCTTTACGATTATTATACCTATTAGATGAAATTAATGAACCTTTAGTTACATTAAAAACAATTGGTCACCAATGATATTGATCATATGAATATTCTGATTTTATAAATATTGAATTTGACTCTTATATAATCCCAACAAATGAATTAAATATTAATAATTTTCGACTATTAAATGTAGATAACCGAGTTATTCTACCTATAAATTCTCAAATTCGAATCCTAGTAACTGCTGCAGATGTAATTCATTCTTGAACAATTCCAGCTTTTGGTGTAAAAGTTGATGGGACACCAGGTCGTTTAAATCAAACTAATTTTTTTATAAATCGTTCCGGGCTATTTTATGGACAATGTTCTGAAATTTGTGGAGCTAATCATAGATTTATACCTATTGTAATTGAAAGTATCCCAACTAATTTTTTTATTAAATGAATCATAAATTATTCTAATTCATTAGATGACTGAAAGCAAGTACTGGTCTCTTAAACCATTTTATAGTAAATTAGCAATTACTTCTAATGAAAAAATTATTTAAATAAATAACATTAGTATGTCAAACTAAAATTATTAACCAATTAATATTTTTTAATTCCACAAATAGCTCCTATTAATTGATTAAGTTTATTTTTTTTATTTTTTATAATTTTTATTATTTTTAATATAATAAATTATTATTATATATTGCCTACCTCACCAAAATCATTAAGTTATAAAATAACAACAAAAATATTTAATTGAAAATGATAACAAATTTATTTTCTGTTTTTGACCCTTCTTCAAGTATTTTTAGTTTTTCTATTAATTGAATTAGAACTTTTTTAGGAATTGTTATAATTCCAATAATTTATTGATTAATTCCTTCTCGTTACAATATCCTATGAAATAATATTTTATTAACTCTTCATAAAGAATTTAAAACATTATTAGGTCCTACAGGAAAAAATGGATCTACATTAATTTTTATTTCTTTATTTACAATAATTTTATTTAATAATTTTATAGGATTATTTCCTTATATTTTTACTAGAACTAGTCATTTAACATTAACTTTATCCTTATCTTTAACATTATGAATTTCATTTATAATTTATGGTTGACTTAATCATACTCAACATATATTTGCTCATTTAGTCCCTCAAGGAACTCCCGCAATTTTAATACCATTTATAGTTTGTATTGAAACAATTAGAAATATTATTCGACCAGGAACTTTAACAGTTCGATTAACTGCTAATATAATTGCAGGACATTTATTATTAACTTTATTGGGTAATACAGGTCCATCCTTAACTTCATTAGTTTTATCAATTTTATTATTTAGACAAATTTTATTACTACTTTTAGAATCTGCTGTAGCTATTATTCAATCTTATGTATTTGCAGTATTAAGAACACTTTATTCCAGAGAAGTAAATTAATGTCAACTCATTCAAATCATCCATTTCATTTAGTAGATTATAGCCCTTGACCTTTAACAGGTGCAATTGGTGCAATAACAATTGTTTCAGGAATAATTAAATGATTCCATCAATATAATATATCATTATTTATTTTAGGAAACATTATTATTATTATTACTGTTTATCAATGATGACGAGATGTCTGCCGAGAAGGAACATATCAAGGCTTACACACATTTATAGTAACAACAGGATTACGATGAGAAATAATTTTATTTATTTTATCTGAAGTTTTATTTTTTGTTTCCTTTTTTTGAGCTTTTTTTCATAGAAGTTTATCTCCAACTATTGAATTAGGAGCTTCATGACCACCTATAGGAATTTCCCCTTTTAACCCATTTCAAATCCCATTATTAAATACAGCTATTTTATTAGCTTCAGGAGTTACTGTAACATGAGCTCATCATAGATTAATAGAAAATAACCATTCACAAACTTCTCAGGGATTATTTTTTACTATTTTATTAGGAATTTATTTTACAATTTTACAAGCTTATGAATATATCGAAGCACCATTTACAATTGCTGATTCTATCTATGGATCAACATTTTTTATAGCAACAGGATTTCATGGAATTCACGTTTTAATTGGAACAACTTTTTTATTAATTTGTTTAATTCGTCATTTAAATCATCATTTTTCTAAAAATCATCATTTTGGACTTGAAGCAGCTGCTTGATACTGACATTTTGTTGATATTGTTTGATTATTTCTTTATATTTCTATTTACTGATGAGGAGGATAATTAAATTTATTATTTATCTAAATAATATAAAAAGTATATATGACTTCCAATCATAAAGTCTATAAAACTATAGATTAGATAATTTTATTATTAACAGTTATAGCAATAATTATTTTCACAATTTGTTCTGTTGTAATATTTTTAGCCTCAATTTTATCAAAAAAAATACTTAATGATCGAGAAAAAAATTCCCCTTTTGAATGTGGATTCGATCCAAAATCTTCTTCACGAATTCCATTTTCAGTTCATTTTTTTTAATTACAATTATTTTTTAATTTTCGATGTTGAAATTGCATTAATTTTACCTATGATTATAATTTTAAATTTTTTAAATTTATTTATATGAAGAATAACTTCAATTATTTTTTTAATTATTCTATTAATTGGAGTATATCATGAATGAAATCAAGGTATATTAAATTGATCTAATTAAATAAAAAAATTATTTAAGGATTGTAGTTAAATTTAACATTTGATTTGCATTCAAAAAATATTATTTTATGTAATCTATCTTATAAAGAATATGAAGTGATACATCACATTTAGTTTCGACCTAAAAATTAGGTAAATTACCCTTATTCTTAATATTAATTGAAACCAAAATAGAGGTTTATTACTGTTAATAATAAAATTGAATAAAATTCCAATTAAAGAAATATGATGAACAAAAAAAAGTTGTTAACTTTTATTTTTAATGGTTAAATTCCATTTATATTTCTATATTTATTTATTAGTTTAACAAAAACATTACATTTTCATTGTAAAAATAAATATTTTTATTTATAAATTACTAATTTTAATTCATTAAATATTTAAAGATAATATAAATCTCCCTTACAACTTCAACGTAATACTCTAATTATAAGCTATTTAAATACCAAACAACAAAAAATATTAATACTAAAAAAAATAAACTTATTAATATTATAATTAAACTATTATTTTGCAAAATTTGGTTAAATTTTGAATAACCTAATAAATTTTTATATAAATAAAATCCTCCAAAAAATTCAGATCAACCCTGATCAAAACTTTTATATAACTTTTTACCTAAAAATAAAAAATTAAAAATTAACCCATATGTAACAATATTAGGTATAAATCACATTGAACCAAAAAATAAAGAAATAAAATAATTTTGTAAAGATTTATTGAAAAAATATAAAGAAATTTTTGAAATATAATACCCTATTAATCCTCCTAAAATACACACAATTAAAGTTAATATTTTTAATAAAAAAGGTAAACAAATTATTGAAGGAGTACCAAATAACAACCAATTTAAAAATCCTCCCCCAATAATTCTTATAAATAATAAACCAGATATCCCTTTTAATATAATTCAACTATTATCTCTTAATAAATTTAATCTATAAAAATTAAAATTTCCAACTAATGAATAATAAACTAAACGAATTGAGTATCTAACTGTTAACCCTGTAGAAAAGAAAAATAGAAAAAAAGAAAATATATTAACATAATTCAATGACACAATTTCTAAAATTATATCTTTAGAATAAAATCCAGCCAAAAAAGGTATTCCACATAAAGCTAAATTAGCAACATTAAAACATCTACATGTAAAAGGTATATAACTTCTTAATCCTCCTATTAAACGAATATCTTGCAAATTATTTATATTATGAATAATAGCCCCAGCACACATAAACAATAATGCTTTAAATAAAGCATGAGTTAATAAATGAAAAAAAAGCTAATTTATAAAATCCTATAGATAAAATTCTCATTATTAACCCCAATTGACTTAAAGTAGATAATGCAATAATTTTTTTTAAATCAAATTCAAAATTAGCTCCTAACGCTGATATAAATATTGTCAATCCTGAAATTAATAACAATCCTTGTCCTATAATTGTGCCCCCAACTAATAAATTAAACCGAATTAATAAATAAACTCCAGCAGTAACAAGAGTAGATGAATGCACCAAAGCTGATACAGGAGTAGGAGCTGCTATTGCTGCAGGTAATCAAGCTGAAAATGGAATTTGAGCTCTTTTAGTTATTGCAGCTAATACAATTAATACCCCAATAATCAATATATTTATATCTGAAACATTAAATTTTAATAAAAAAATGTAATTTCGAGATCCATAATTTAATATTCAAGCAATTGCTAATAATAAAGCAACATCTCCAATACGATTTGATAAAACAGTTAATATCCCCGCATTATAAGATTTTACATTTTGAAAATAAATTACTAATAAATAAGACACTAATCCTAAACCATCCCATCCTAATAAAATTCTAACTAAATTTGGAGAAATAATTAAAAATATTATTGATATAACAAATAACAAAACTAATAAAATAAATCGATTAATATTTATATCTCCTGCTATATACTCTTTTCTATAATAAATTACTAAAGACGAAATTAATAAAACAAAAGATATAAAAATTAATCTTATTCAATCAAATAAAAAAGTTATTACAACTCTAATTCTATTTAAAGAAATTAACTCTCATTCTAAAAAAATTGAATAATCATGATTAATAAATATTAAACCAAAAATAAAAGAAATAATTCTTAAATTAATTAATAATCAAAATCTTATTCTACATAAAGATAAATTTTTCACAATTTAAAATAAAATTTTATATTTTTGACACCACAAATCAACGTTTTAATTAAACTATTTAAATATAATCAAAAAAAAATTATTTCACTTTTTATAATCAATAAATTTAAAGGAACTCAATGTAACAATAATAATAAAAATTCTCGTATGTTATTTATTCTAAAAGAATAAACCCCTGAATAAAATTTTCCATGTTGTCTATAAGAATACAAATATAAAGTATATGCTGCTCTAAAAAAAGATAAAAATGATAAAGTAATCATTGAATACCAAGATCAACTTACAATTCTATTTATTAAAGAAATTTCCCCTAATAAATTTAATGTAGGAGGAGCAGCTATATTTCCAGATCTCAATAAAAATCATCACAAAGTTAAAGAAGGTATAAAATTTAATAACCCTTTATTAATTAATAATCTTCGTCTACCTAATCGCTCATATCTAATATTAGCTAAACAAAATAAACCTGAAGAACATAACCCATGACCAATTATTAATCTATACCCTCCACAAATTCCTCAATTTCTTAAATTTATAATTCCTGCTAAAACAATCCCTATATGAGCAACAGAAGAATAAGCAATTAATGACTTTATATCAACTTGACGTAAACAATTTAAACTAATCAAAATCCCTCCAATCAAAGAAATTCTAATGAAAAAATAATTAAATTTTAAACAAACAAATGAAATAAATGAAAATACTCGTAAAAGTCCATATCCTCCTAATTTCAATATAATTCCAGCCAAAATTATTGAACCAGAAATTGGAGCTTCAACATGAGCTTTAGGTAATCATAAATGTACCAAAAATATAGGCATTTTAACCAAAAAAGCTAAAATTATCGAAAAATATAATAACTCATAATTAAACATATAATTACTTAAAAAATAAAAATTTAAATTTCCTAATTTTTCATATAAATAAAAAATTCCAATTAATATAGGTAAAGATACAAATAAAGTATAAAACAATAAATAAATTCCAGCTTGTAAACGCTCAGGTTGATACCCTCACCCTAAAATTAATAATAAAGTTGGAATTAAACTCCCTTCAAAAAATAAGTAAAAAGCAAAAATATTTATTCTAGAAAAAGTTAAAAATAAAAAAAATAATATAAAAATTACATTCACTAAAAATAAATTATTATAATTTTTAAATTTTTGAATTTTTTCACTTGCTATTAATATTAATGCACAAATTCAAAATCTTAATAAAATTAATCCATAAGAAATTATATCACATCCTAAAAAATAAGAAATACTTATAAAATAATTTATATAAATATTAAATAAAATAAAAATAAAACTAATAAAAAATAATATATTTTGAACCATTCAAAATATACTATTTAAAAAACAAATAGGAACCAAAAATAAAATAAAAAAAATAAATTTTAACATTATAAAATTCTAAATGATTGAAAATAATCATTTCCATGAGTACGAATTATAGAAACTAAAATAGAAATTCCTAAAGCTCCTTCACAAACTCTAAATGTTAAATATATTATTATAAAATAATTTCTATAATCTATTATATTTATATAACTATATAATAAAAAATAAATTATTAAAATAATAAATTCTAAACTTAATAACATAGATAATAAACGTTTTCGATTAAAAATAAAAGAAAAAATCCCTATCAATACTATTACACAACAAAATAATCAAAAATAAATTATCATTTTTTAGTTTTAATAGTTTAATAAAAACATTGGTCTTGTAAATCAAAAATAAGAATAATTTTTTTAGAACTCTCAAGAAAAAAGAAATAATTCTTTATCATAAATTCCCAAAATTTATATGTTAATTAAACTATTTCTTAAAATCATACATATATTAATTTTAACTATAATACTAATTTCAAGTATTACATTTTTATTCTTAAAACACCCATTATCTATTGGATTAATACTGTTAATTCAAACTATTTTAATTTCAATAATTTCAGGACTAATTTCAAAAACATTTTGATTTTCCTATATTTTATTCTTAATTTTTTTAGGACTACATTATTAGTTTTATTTATTTATGTAACAGCAATTGCTTCAAATGAAATATTTTCATTTTCAATTAAAATACTAATATGAACAATTTCATTAATCACAAGAATTTTATTTTTATGAATTATTTTTTACAATTATATTAATATAGATATATTTACAAATAATGAATCAATATTATTAATTAATTTAAAAATTATAATTAAAGAAAATTCATATATTTTAACTAAACTTTATAATTACCCTACAAATTTTATAACAATTTTTTTAATAAATTATCTTTTAATTACTTTAATTGCAATTGTAAAAATTACTAATATATTTTTTGGACCAATTCGATTTATAAAATAAATGAATAAACCAATATGAATTAAACACCCACTTTTCAAAATTATAAATAATTCTTTAATTGATTTACCAACTCCAATTAATATCTCTTCTTGATGAAATTTTGGATCTCTTTTAGGATTATGTTTAATCATTCAAATTTTAACTGGATTATTTTTAGCTATACATTACACAGCAGATATTAATATAGCTTTTAATAGAATTAGACACATTTGTCGAGATGTAAATTATGGATGACTATTACGAACTCTTCATGCTAATGGAGCTTTATTTTTTTTTATTTGTATTTATCTTCATATTGGACGAGGAATTTATTACAATTCTTATAAATATACACAAACCTGACTAGTTGAAGTAATTATTTTATTTTTAGTAATAGCAACAGCCTTTATAGGATATGTATTACCACGGGGACAAATATCTTTTTGAGGAGCAACTGTAATTACTAATTTATTATCTGCTATTCCTTATTTAGGTATTGATTTAGTACAATGAGTTTGAGGAGGATTTGCAGTTGATAATCCAACATTAACACGATTTTTTACTTTTCACTTCATTTTACCTTTTATTGTTTTAGCAATAACTATAATTCATCTTTTATTTCTTCATCAAACAGGATCAAATAACCCAATAGGACTAAATTCAAGTATTGATAAAATCCCATTTCATCCCTATTTCACTTTTAAAGATATTACCGGATTTATTATTCTAATTATAAGACTTATTCTATTAACTTTAATAAATCCCTATTTATTAGGAGACCCAGATAATTTTATTCCAGCTAATCCTTTAGTAACTCCTATTCACATTCAACCAGAATGATATTTTCTGTTTGCTTATGCAATTTTACGTTCAATTCCTAACAAATTAGGAGGAGTAATTGCATTAGTTACATCTATTGCTATTTTAATAATTATACCTTTTTATAATATAAGCAAATTTCAAGGATTACAATTTTATCCCATTAACCAATTTTTATTTTGAATTATACTATCCACTGTAATTTTATTAACTTGAATTGAAGCTCGATCAGTTAAAGAACCTTATGTTATAATTGGACAAATTCTAACATTTATTTATTTTTTATACTTTTTAATTAACCCTTTAATTAATAAATGATGAGATAACTTACTAAATTAAATGTAAGTTAATTAGCTTGAAATAAGCATATATTTTGAAAATATAAGATAGAATTAAAATTTTCTATTAACTTTACTAAAAATAATTCATATAAATAAATATATTTTTAACCCAACTATAAATAATAAAAAATTTAATGAATATGGTAAATAACACTTTCAAGATAAATATATTAACTTATCATATCTAAATCGAGGTAAAGTCCCCCGAACTCAAATAAATAAAAAAGAAATAATAACTAATTGAAAAAAAATATTAAATTAAATAAATTACATCCTAAAAAAATTACACAAAATAATATTCTTATAAATAAAATTCTCGAATACTCCGCTAAAAAAATTAATGCAAAACCTCCTCTTCTATATTCTACATTAAATCCAGATACTAATTCTGATTCCCCCTCAGCAAAATCAAATGGAGTACGATTAGTTTCCGCTAAACAAATTCTTAATCAAATAAAACCCATAGGAAATAAAAAAAATAAAAACCAAATATAATATTGAAATTTTATAAAATCAATTATATTATATCTTTCAATTAAAAAAATAAAAGATAGTAAAATTAAAGCCAATCTTACTTCATAAGAAATAGTTTGAGCAACAGCTCGTAAACCTCCTAATAAAGAATAATTTGAATTTCTTGATCATCCTGCAATTATTACAGTATACACTCCTATTCTTGTAATTCTTAAAAAAAATAACAAACTTAAATTAAAACTATTCAATCTTCTTAAAACAGGTATGCATATTCACACCAACAAAGATAAAAATAATGAAAAAATAGGAGAATAATAGTAACAAATATAATTTGACATTAAAGGATAAGTCTGTTCTTTAGTAAATAATTTAATTGCATCACTAAAAGGTTGAACTACTCCAATAAAACCCACTTTATTTGGTTCTTTACGAATCTGAATATAACCTAAAACTTTTCGTTCCAACAATGTTAAAAAAGCTACACCCACTAAAACACAAATAATTAATAATAAACTTCTTAATAAAGATATAATAATTTCATTTAAAAACAAGTACTACTTATAATTTTTAAATTATATAAATAAATTCTAAATTTATTGCACTAATCTGCCAAAATAGTAATTAAATTCATTCATAAAATAATTTCTTAAAAATAAATATTAATTCCTTTCGTACTAAAATATTTTATTAAATCAAAGATAGAAACCAACCTGGCTTACACGGTTTGAACTCAGATCATGTAAGAATAAAAAGTCGAACAGACTTAATATTTAAACTTATACATTTAAATATGAATCTTAATCCAACATCGTGGTCGCAAACTTTTTTATCGATAAGAACTCTTTGCTTTTATCCCTAATGTAACTCAATTTTTTAATCACTAATAATGGATCACTTAATCATAAATAAATGATAAAAATTATAAAAAGTTATTTAAATTTTAATATCACCCCAATAAAATTAATTAATAAATTTATAATAAAAAAAATCAAAATAAATCAAAAACTATTTAATAATCAAGATTTATAGGGTCTTCTCGTCTTTTGAATATATTTTAGGTTTTTAAATAAAAAATAAAACTCTATTAAAATTTTAAATAAAACAGTCTATATCTCGTCTAACCATTCATTCCAGCCTTCAATTAAAAGACTAATGATTATGCTACCTTTGCACAGTTAATATACTGCGGCCTTTTAAATTTTTCAATTTTCAGGTTAAACTTTAAATAAAATACAAAAAGAGATGTTTTTGGTTAACAAGCGAATATAAAATTTGACGAATTCTTTTAAAGTTTTATTATTTAAACATACTAATATACTAATTTTATCATTATTATTTAATAAATTAAATCATAAATAAAACTTTAATATATACTTAAAATATAATAAATATTTGGTATTAAAAAATAAATTATAAAAAATTTTTTAATAATTGCTAATTCTAAGAATACAATTAATTAAAATA